AAAGCTTCAGTGTCTGGGTAATTAGAAATGACACTATATAATCACACTACCCAGGTGGGATCACCTCTCATCTCGACCAATCACGTGAGTGAATTCAAGCGGAATTTGGACAGAATCACTGTTTTACGGCTGATCACGGAGTCGGCGAGCGATACTTAGAACGAGCCGTAGCCTACAACATCAACTTAGTTAGATATTAAAATCCAAAATATAGTGAAAACACTATTAATTAGCACAGTAACAAGATCGGCAGCTTAAGACATTAACTTGTAAGCACAAAACACAAGATACTTCTCTTTGCAATATAAATAAGGCTTTATTGGATGAAGCTAAGACATATAAACTAATCTAACACATAAACACACGCACTCACACATTCATACAAGTTGCAGGAAGAGAAAAAGTGAGGAAAGAATGAGTTTAAGAGAGTAAAAATGTGAATTCCCAAGTTTACAGCATTTGTGCAGTTGCATAGACCTGAACAACCATCAATCACTTAATTAACCTTCGCATTGAGTTTAAAATGAGGTTAAAATTTATATTAAATGCACCAGTTCAGCTCAGCTAGAATCTGGAGATTGTATTTGAGTTGCCTTTGTTGTTAAGGGTACCTCTGTTGTAAAGTTAATGCACAAGTTGCAGAAAGAGAGAAAGTGAGGAAATAATTAGTTTAAGAGAATGAAAATGTGAAATCCCAAGTTTAAAGCAATATGTGCAGTTGCATAGACCTGAACAACCATCAATCACTTAATTAACCTTCGCATTGAGTTTAAAATGAGGTTAAAATTTATATTAAATGCACCAGTTCAGCTCAGCTAGAATCTGGAGATTGTATTTGAGTTGCCTTTGTTGTTAAGGGTACCTCTGTTGTAAAGTTAATGAGATAATTAAGTGACTAATTAAATGATGATTGTGCATTATATATATATAATCCTCATGAGCTGGCTTGATTATGTTCAAAATGACTTTTTTTATTTTATTTATATGTTTAGATTTTGTATTAAAAACCCTGTGAAACTACAGTGTTGCTCTAATGGATATAGTGAATTAATTTTATTTAAAGTGAATATCCACACAGGTGCTGTGACTAAAGGCTACACATACTGCTCAAAACATTAGATTAATCCGTGCTGAGGAGCCATGCCAAAGCACAAACCACATACACATGAAAATTCAGATGATAACTGCAACTGCAGGTTTCCAACAGAGATGGTGACAATGAAGCAAAACTTACAGACGGCTGCTTTAAACAAATTATTAAAATTATCCTGATCAGTACTCAAAAATTGCACAAAAAAGTTACAATTCAAAATAAACCCAGAAACATTAACTGCATGAAAGTAACAACAAAAAACATATTACAATCATTTCAATTTATGCATCACATTTAAATCCACAGTGTAATGCAAGACTGTCAGATCGCCAAACCATTTCATTGCGTTTTACATCAGGAGCAGTTGTGCAGTAGGCCTACATTGGGAGTTGAAGTGCACAGAGACAATGGGCAGATAAATGTTATGGACGTTCCCAATGTCTCGATGTTCACAGGGTAAGTTACTGGTATACTTGGAGGTGTCTGTAAAAGGCAAATTCTTCAGCTGTGCCAGTATTTATAATTAAGTGACTAATTAAATGATGATTGTGCATTAGTGATGAACACCTGCTGTTATTGAGAACTACAGAGGATCAGATGTTGATGTTTTATTGGTTAAAATGATGCCACCATCATGGAGATCAGTGTTTGCTTTAGTTGGGCTCTTGAGCCTTAACTTGTTGTGTTAGATTTCTCTCTGTAGAAATGCATGTGGTGTTGTAAAGTTCCACACAGGTGCTGTGACTAAAGGCTACACATACTGCTCAAAACATTAGATTAATCCGTGCTGAGGAGCCATGCCAAAGCACAAACCACATACACATGAAAATTCAGATGATAACTGCAACTGCAGGTTTCCAACAGAGATGGTGACAATGAAGCAAAACTTACAGACGGCTGCTTTAAACAAATTATTAAAATTATCCTGATCAGTACTCAAAAATTGCACAAAAAAGTTACAATTCAAAATAAACCCAGAAACATTAACTGCATGAAAGTAACAACAAAAAACATATTACAATCATTTCAATTTATGCATCACATTTAAATCCACAGTGTAATGCAAGACTGTCAGATCGCCAAACCATTTCATTGCGTTTTACATCAGGAGCAGTTGTGCAGTAGGCCTACATTGGGAGTTGAAGTGCACAGAGACAATGGGCAGATAAATGTTATGGACGTTCCCAATGTCTCGATGTTCACAGGGTAAGTTACTGGTATACTTGGAGGTGTCTGTAAAAGGCAAATTCTTCAGCTGTGCCAGTATTTATAATGATTACTTTGTATTATTTTCTAGAAGCACACTAAGTGTACTTGGAATGCCATTGCAATGTTTTAAAGTCACTGAAAGTAAAGGTATAGTATGACCTCAGTTTGTTAACAGTATTATATTAATGTATGTTGAACACTCTTACAGTGTAACTGAATTGCAATTGTAATGTCACCATAATACATTTGAAGTTCATGCTGAGTGAATTCTACATTTCAAAACTTAAATACAAGAATTGAGTTAAAGTGTATTTAAGTTTACTTGGAATATTTCCACTTTAGCACAAACAAGTATATTTAATACAAATTTAGTTGAACTTCAGCACTGCTTTTAGACAACTAAAATGCATTTAGGACATTAGTTGTTCCAATTTAACAGACTTTAGGTATACCAATTTATAGCGTGCCACAAATACATTTAGTTATACCAAAGTACATACTAATAAATTGTGCTCAAGTATACAATTTTTTCATTGGTTACGGCCTAACAGATTTATCATTTATGCTGCACCGTGATTTTCACTTGCACGTGTCAGAGGATTATTATGAAGGCAGCTGACGTTATTTGCAGCTTTACTCACAAAATACAATTCCTGCTCATCAATAAGGTGAGAACCAGAACCGTTATTAACCGAAATACACAAATTAATTAAAGAGGACCTATTATTCTTTTACGTGGTGTTTAAACATTAATGTGTCCACAGTGTGTGTAAAGAACCACCCTATAATCGTAAAAATCCACCTACTCCTTTTTTATAATCCCCATAAATCAGAAGCATTGTCTGAGAACAGGCTGTTCCAGTTTTCTCCCTACAATGACGCCATAGTATGGAAAATCCCCGCCCACTGGTGACAATCTCTGCCCTATTAGCACAAATCCCACCCTGAGTGAGCCGCACACAATCCACCATCTTTATACCCTCGCTAGAGCAGCTAGTCATAAAATGTCTCAGCCATTTAAACATTGTAACTCTTGTTTTTGGCTGCAATAATTGCAAAAACTCCCAGAATTTGAGCCACTAAGGATGCAGTGGATTCTTTTCAATTGTGTGCCAAGAAATTAGCTAAATTTGTATGTTTGTGTGAACCATTGCACACTGGACTGCTTTGCAATTGTAGTGGGTTATCTTCTGCGTTGTGTGTCGATAAAAGAGACCTTACACCATGATGTGGTTGTCATGTGGTTAATTTCGGCTTCTCAGTTTCTGTATTAAAGTATAACAGACACCATCAGATAGTAACAGGAGAATATCTGGTTTAGCCGTGCCTCTCATCGCAATGACATCCCGCGCAAGAGAGCGTTATAGCATACAATAACGATTATAGAAACAAATACAATAATCATCAGAAAACAAAATACAGGAAAAGTGCATGTCAATCATTGCATACTGTTACAATGTACATTCATATAACAGGAAATACATTCAAACCTCTCATGGATCATTAAAGTTAAACAGATACAACTTCACACACTCATAACACCGGTAAAACAGAGGTAAAAGTTTTATCTAAGTATGCATCGTCATATAACGAAACTCATCAGCATCCAGCACGTGTGTAGTAGCGGCCATTACACAAATTCATGTTTCGATTAAACATACTCTTACAATGTTTATACTTGGAGTACTAATCTCTTAATAAAGAAAAGTTAACAAACAAAACACATTTTGTGCAGAAAATCCATAAACAGTAAGCAATTAACCATATTTGAACACTTTTTCGAGAAGCTGATAAAAACATACCTCTCATCGCAATGACATCTAAAGTTGCCATTGCCTCTTACTGTATTCACAGAGACGGAGCTTGTGATTTTTAACCCCAAAATGATCACTGCCTGTAAAATTCAGAAGCACAATTGTATTACTTCTTAAAACTAAAACTAACGACATAGCGCTGATCTTCATGAATACAGTCAGAGACAGTGGTAACTTAAGCAACATTAACCATACAGCGTGCTAACAAGCACATTCACAAAATATAACGTGCTGTACTTACATGTTCTGAATACGAAGTTGGACAAACAGTTGGTATTGATCCATCTTTGACAATTCTACTCGCTTTGCAGGGGGCAGGTGTAAGGGTTTTATTGCAGTGTGAATTCTCATGTGGACTCTAAGGTTTCCATGTTGAGTAAAACTCTCTAAATGCTGTTGGCAGGTGTAAGGCTTCTATTCTGTGGGAATTCATGTGTGCCTGTTTAAGTTTCTTTTTTGAGTGAAACTAGATCTACACTTTGTTGGGATGAGTAAGACTTTTCTCTGGTGTGAACATTCATGTGCAAGTTAAGGCTTCCTTTATGACTGAAACTTTTTCCACACTGTTGGCAAGTGAAGGGACTCTCTCAAGTTGTGCATTCTCATGTGGACTTTAAGGTTTCCACGTCAAGTAAAACTTTTTCCACAGCGTTGGCAGGTGTAAGGCTTTTCTCCAGTGTGAATTCTCATGTGGACGTTAAAGCTTCCTTTATGACAAACTTTTTTTCCACAGTGTTGGCAGGTGAAGGGACTCTCTCCATTGTGTATTCTCATGTGGACGTTAAAGCTTCCTTTATGACTGAAACTTTTTACACAGTGTTGGCAGGTGAAGGGACTCTCTCCATTGTGTATTCTCATGTGGACATCAAGGTTTACACATTGAGCAAAACTGCTGGCAGGTCTAAGGCTTTTCTCCAGTGTGAATTTTTATATGCCTGTCAAGACTTACTTTAAAAGTGAAACTTTTTCCACAGTGTTGGCAGATGCAAGGCTTTTCTTCAGTGTGAATTCTCATGTGCCAGTTAAGGCTTCCTTTATGAGTGAAACTTTTTCCACACTGTTGGCAGGTGTAAGGCTTCTCTCCAGTGTGAATTCTGATGTGGGTGTTAAGGTTTCCATGCTGATGGAAACTCTTTCCACACCGAGGGCATGTGTAAAGCTTCTCTCCAGTGTGAACAGTCATGTGCCAGTTAAGGCTTCCTTTATGAGTGAAACTTTGTCCACACTGTTGGCAGGTGTAAGGCTTCACTCCAGTGTGAATTCTCATATGGTGGCTAAGGCTTCCTTGATGACTGAAACTTTTTCCACAGTGATGGCAAGTGAAGGCACTCTCTCCATTGTGTATTCTCATGTGGACTTTAAGGTTCCAATGTTGAGCAAAACTTTTCCCACACTGTTGGCAGGTGAAAGGCTTCTCTCCAGTGTGAATTCGTATGTGCCGGTCAAAGCTTCCTTTATGAGTGAAACTCTTTCCACACTGTTTGCAGGTGTAAGGCTTCTCTCCAGTGTGATTTCTCATGTGGTGGCTAAGACTTCCTTGATGACTGAAACTTTTTCCACACAGTTGGCAAGTGTAGGGACTCTCTCCAGAGTGAATTCTCATGTGGATTTTAAGGTTTCCATGTTGAGCAAAACTTTTTCCACAGTGTTGGCAGGTGTAAGGCTTCTCTTCAGTGTGAATTATCATGTGGTGGCTAAGGCTTCCTTGATGACAGAAACTTTTTCCACAATGTTGGCAAGTGAAGGGACTCTCTCCAGTGTGTATTCTCATGTGATCTTCAAGGTTCCAATGTTGAGCAAAACTTTTTCCACACTGTTGGCAGGTGTAAGGCTTTTCTCCAGTGTGAATTCTCATGTGGTGGCTAAGGCTTCCTTGTTGACTGAAACTTTTTCCACACTGTTTGCAGGTGTAAGGCTTTTCTCCAGTGTGAATTCTCATGTGGTGGCTAAGGCTTCCTTGTTGACTGAAACTTTTTCCACACTGTTTGCAGGTGTAAGGCTTTTCTCCAGTGTGAATTCTCATGTGGTGGCTAAGGTTTCCTTGATGACGGAAACTTTTTCCACATTGTTGGCAGGTGTATGGCTTTTCTCCAGTGTGAATTCTCATGTGGTGGCTAAGGTTTCCTTGATGACGGAAACTTTTTCCACATTGTTGGCAGGTGTATGGCTTTTCTCCAGTGTGAATTTTTATATGCCTGTCAAGACTTACTTTATAAGGGAAACTTTTTCCACAGTGTTGGCAACTGAAAGGGGTCTCCCCAACGTGGACTTTAAGGCTTCCTTGTTGATTATAACTCTTTCCAGACCGAAGGCAAGTGAAATCCCTTCTAGTTTGTTTAGTCTTTTGAGCTTTTTTTCGTGTGGAAATCTTTTCATTCTGTGAACACCTAAAATATTTTCTTCCAGCTGTGAAATCATGCAGATTCTCGTATTGATCTTTCTCTTCAATGTCATGGAGTACTTCTTTCTCTTTTTTCAACGCTACTTCTAAGGTGAAAAAACAAACAAAAGTTATCCCCAGTTTAATGGCACAATACAACAAACATCAAAACATTTAGGTAATGCATCAAAATCAACAACATGTACAGTATGCTTGATCCTGTACCAGAGGTGTCCAAACCTGCTCTGAAGGGCCACTGTCCTACTTGTCCCAATACACCTGCCGGAAATCCTCAACTCAGGCCCTTGAAACCCCCTTTCCTTCAGAGTTTAGCTCCAACCCTAATCAAACACACCTGAACATGCAAATCAAGGTCTTCTGTATTATTTGAAAGCTGAAGGCAGAAAGCTCTATTTGAAAGCTCAAGTTTGCAGAAAAGGGGACCTTGAGGGCTAGAGTTGAAACACGCTGCTCTTCACAATATTGCTAACTTTCTTTAGGTCATGTCCCAAGAACCTTTAAGCTGGCAGTTAAACCCTTTATTAAAAAAAGAACACTCTGTCAATATGGGGTGCTGTGTGTACATTAATGAGGAAAAAAATGTACTTAAATGATTTTAGCAAATGGCTGCAATATAACAAAGAGTGAAAAATTTAAGGGGGTCTGAATACTTTTCGTACCCACTGTAGTTAATTATAGACTTCTCAATTAGGAATGCTAATAATTAATCACTGATCCATTAATGGACAAAAATAATAATAATCCAAGGAAACTGAAACTGTGGAAATGGTCAAAAAAAGTTAATGATAGGCCCGAGCAAGACATTTAAATGAGATGTTGTGCTTTTGGGAAAGCAAAAATCAAGTGTAGCATTTGTTCAGGCAGGTCACGTTAGTCAAGCTCGCATCAGCTGACTCTCAGCTGATCCCCCCATCTACCTATAGGATACGGCACCTACCTAAGCATCCAGATATAAGGTCCTTCAGTATTATCAGCAGTTTTCACATTGCTCAATGGCGAATTGGGCAGGCAAAACACCACCATCCCTTGGAATCGGGAATTTAGCGAGTGGAATTCGTTTCCCCAATAGACTCCCCTCCGATTCATTCAAGTTCGTTAACTTGAACACGTGAATTCACCGCATTTATCATAAGCTGCCTGATTCGGAAGTGACCGAATTAGCATTACTTCATGCATTGCTACATTATTGAAATGGACTCCACAAGTTATGTGACCGACTCAAGAACAAGTTCAGATGGGAACTTCATCCCCAGTTGATATCAAGAGATTAAGTATCCACGTCACAGCTGCTATGTTTCACCCTCTCGAACAAGCTAAGTTCCTTTTAATGCTCTCAAGTTATTGGCAACATGCATGTTGCTATGGTTATCCGCGTTGCTTAGGCTCATTTAGGCCCAATCCCATTTCTACCCCTTAGCCCTTCCCCTTTCCCTCCGTTTTGTGCGTTCACATGAAGGGGTAGGGGTGTCTCGGTTCTCTTTTGGTTGGAGGGGTAGGGGTAAGGGGAAGGGCCAGATAGCCCTCCAAACAAAGATTTTTCGGGACCACACTTCAAACGAAGGGGTATGAATTATCTCAGCGTAAACCGGCAACATGGCTGCCCGAGCGAACAAAAAGACACATAAATGTAAGCATTATTGACATTAATAAAGATTTTAATGAAAAGTAATCATTTGTTTTAGGTTATATTCAATCATGTGTTCAAATTACAATCATGTTATTCAAAGAAATGTTTGCAAAAAAATCGCTAAGGTTTGCTAATGTTAAACCATTAACGTTACTGACTGCACGACAGTGCCACAACATATGTTCATGTCTGATCAGGGCGATAACCACCATAGACATTGAGGGGTTCTAGTCCCCCCAATAATTAGAAATTGCTAAACCCTTTTCTCAAATATTGCCAATTCGAGAGAGAGAGAGAGAGAGAGAGATGAATGTTGCGTGTATGTGCGTCTCTCTACAATCAGTGAGTTTACTTAAAAAAACAGCAATTTTATCCTCTTGTTGCTGGAAAATATAAAGCAGCGATTCAGTATTTAAACTGTTATTAATAAAAGTCGTGGGGCAGCATTGACAAGTTTCTTTGCTCCTGGATGTGTGAGCTGCGCGATCTCCGATATGTATGTGTGTGTGTGTGTATGTGTCAGTGTGTCTGTAAGCAGCGCATTAATATAGAAGGGTAAGGGTCTAATGCACACCAGTTTAGGTGTGTGTACTGTAGGAGCTAGACGACGTATGATGATGTGTAGTAGTGGTGTCCCAATTCTTAGGGGAATATTTTCACCCCTACCCCTTGACACTTTGTTTCAAGGGACATGGGGAAGGGGTAGGGGAAGGGGTATAAAATAGAATTGGGATCCGGCCTTAGTTGTTTAGTTGGCAATGTGTGGTACCGTGTTGCTGGCAACACGCTTGTCGTTGCAATATGCTGTGCTTAAAGGGGGATATAATGCCATTTCATGCATTCTGAGTTGTTTATACTGTTAAGAGTTGGATTGTTATGCGCGCTCTGAGAACAGAGTGTGTTGCTCAACACGTTTCGTTCATGGTTCGGAAGAGATAACCTTATTCAGTGTTATGTGAACAGTGGATGCAATTTGTTTTTCTGGGGCAGCAACGGAGTTTCACAAGCTTTTTGTGTTTGTTTGTTCCCATCATTTCGGTGACGAATATTTTATAACAAGGTACATTCTGACACTGGATTTGCACATCGTTTGATACTGAAAGACGGAGCAGTCCCAATGATAAAAGATCCCCGTCATGACTAGGAGCTTTAAACTGCATCAAGTATCGGTGTTTGTTGCCAATCGGCCCGAAAGTGCTCGCGACTCTTCAGCTCCACCCACGGCTCGCCTCCAGGAGCTTGGCTATTTTCAGAGAGAATCGTAAAGCTGTATCTTTCTTTTATAAACCTGATTAAACTGAAGACATCTGAGCCACTGAAGATGCAGAGGATTAATGTTACTTTCATTTTTTAAGGGAATGCGCCGATCCCCAATCTGCCTAAATGCGTCTATGTTCCTGCGAATCATTCATGATCCAGCTTCATCTACAGAAGAAGTGAGTATAAGGGTTTTTTATGGATCTTTGCAAATCGCCTTTTCTAATAATGTGCTAGTTAGTCAGTTTCGTGGCTGAAGTTCACAGTCTGCTCGTCACTCCACGGAGGAGAGGGGCAGGGTCAGCAGAGCTCTTTAGCATTTAAAGCAACATGGACTAGAATGGCTCGCTGAAAACAGAGCTGATTTTGACAGGGTAAAAAAGGTGTTTTTTTACACTACCATTGAGAAATTTTAACCAAAGTATGTTATAGACTTTTCATTAAGAATCATATCAACTTGTGGAAAATGGGCATCCGATGACCCCTTTAAATTTTAGTTTTTTCGTTCAGGGGTACAATAATAAATAAACAGCTTGAATATTTAATTTCTATACGTGGGCGGGAAATAAACGCCCCTTTCTGCTGATTGGTCAGTCGAAGATCAAACCGTGCCGTCATCAGTTCTTCCACAGTATTACGCAGCAGAATAATAGTCCTCCATTGCTGCAGTTGTACGGATTCTTAACGCATTTATTGCACTATACATTATACTACATTTAATCTTTTTTCATCAAACAAACAGACTAATGAATAGCTCGACACAACTCATACCGGTGCAGAGTCTAGACAGGGCTTTCTTTTGTGTAGATCTAAATTCTATTCTTTGCATCAGCTGGGCATCATGGCAGGGTATGATATGACGGCTGTCATAGCCTACCCTGCTCACCCAGTAAGTCTGTTTGTTTAATTAAGTAATTAATTCATTTGTTTCAAAATAAATATTTTAAACACTAAGACAAAAAGGAAAGAATAATAAATTGGCTTGGGTAACCTATATATAGGCCTATAAGGTTCACGCAAGAACTGTCATTCTGACTGACATCAAGTGTTACAAGCTCTTGGTGCATAAAGAAGATCTGTAAAGTTGCAAAGACTAAAGTCTCAAATCCAAAGAGATATTCTTTATAAAAGTTAAGAGTCAACCACGCCTACCTAAAATGGCTCATTCTAACACGCCCCACATGTCTACATCACTATGTGAGAAGATTTGCATAACGCCGTCCAAATGTTCACGCAAAGAAAGGTGTAAATATTTTGTCAAATAGCTACTCCATATCAGTCGCATACAAAGAAAATACAGAATAATTAGAACAATCATTAACAAACAAATAACAGAGTGTCATATCTAGACACATTTTTCCCAGAACGCTCTTGCGACCCGGTAGCAATTCTTCCACGGCCCGGTAGTGGGTCGCGACCCGGTGGTTGGGGACCTCTGCTGTAATACACCGATCGGTCTGCATTGCACAGTCAGTCCGCGTCAAGTCGAACACACCTAATAGTTTACACCGGTTACACTCAGAGATGAGGCGCACACGTGAGGCTGTAGTGTGCATGCGTCCCAGCCCCCTTAGATGTAAGGCTACATTTACACTGGTGCGTTTATGTTCTAAAATGAAAACGATCCTCGTCATACTGGCATTTCAAGCCGGCTTTCCACTATCTACGACAAACGACAAGCGACAGACATTAATTTCCAATGGAGAGTAGCGCGGGAGCGGCATGGAGTTCCGATCATATGCAGATGTCCGTTCATACTAATGTTACACGACCGAAAGCGTGTGTTATCTGACCATTCATGCAAACTGTAGCATCATGCTACATAAGACAATAAATGAGATTTATGTTCCGCTTTTACTCAAAATTCAATTTAAACCACCATCGAGAGTTTGTAATAACTTCCGATTGCCGTCTAATGTGTGTTTTGGCTATGTAATGTTGCTGAAATTAAATATGTTATTATGTTATTACATGATATATAGTCAGAGCAGCAATCATGGAAGAGAGAACACAGACAGACTGCACTGGAAGCTGCTAATGCTCATCAGTAAATCATGGGAAAATGAATAGAAATGATGATTCTGTCTGAGCTATGCTTTTTAAAATGAACACGCACTAGTGTAAATGTAGCCTAACAGATGTGTAAACTGAAGACTATTTGAGCTTTATTAAAACTATTTGCACTGATTTATTGTGTTGGCTACATTTTGTTCCTTTGTGTAGTGACTCGGGAGATGAGTCTTTGAGTTTGTATAAACATTAACAAGCTGAAAAATAAAACCAAAGTTTTTTTTTTAGATAATGTAATCTTGTTAAAATTGATTTCATAAAATTGGTATCGAAAAAAGTATCGTTCAAGAACCGGAATCGAAGTCAAGGTATCGGTATCGATATCAAATTTTTTTTTTACAATACCCAGCCCTACGAATGATACATGGATTAATGTTACACATAAATTTGTTTAGACAACTTATGCATTATTTATTACTTTTTCTTAATTTAATGTGTGACGCGTCATAATAACGAATGACCAACATGAAGGAAGGATCCTTGGCAGGTTCACATGAAGCCAGCATTAGTATTGTTGTCTGGTCATGTGATCTTAACATGTCTGTCCACATGCGTGGACCTGCTCCATGTCAAATAAAACCACTTTAATTACGAAGCTCATATGACATTCTTCAAAAATATATTTTATTTCTGTAGAGCTGGACATTTGAATATGGATCAAATGACTGAGTTTAGTTTTGAGAATAAAAACTGACCTGTTTGTTCCTCAGTATCTTGCTTCAGACTGAATACTTCTTCAATCCTGAAGTCTTCACTCTGCTTTTTAACAAACGCCATCTTTATAAGAGTGTCACGTGGCTCTCAGTCGCTTCAGCAGGAGTTTTTTGGACACTCAGTTCTGTTTAAGAGGGGAGTAAGAGAAAGAAATAAACCCAAACGAAATCTCTGGGTGCGTCCTAATCAGCTCTAGTTCAGTAGTCAGCGCACTGGTGAGGGAGTCAGTCAGAGTGAGAGTTCATGGACTTAAATCACCTGATTAGACACTCAAAACATTAATAACATAACACACCTTATAATGAAAGTTCACATTTAGGTAGTTATGGTGTACAGTATAGTAGTTATCTAATGGTTTGCTGATCACATTTAATAGACTGCACTAAATGAAAATATTTTCTCTTGGTTTAAGTTTTCATTAAACACGTTTGTGTCGAATTAAACGGTTCTGACCAGCATGTGACGTCAGCGACTCGGTTTGTGAATCATTTGATTCAATTGACTCGGAGTCTAAAAAGCTCAGTTTGTCCAGCGACTGAATACATGATAAACTGATTCACGAGACTCATCTTTTGTGTTCACGTTACTCGTGTGTGGATGCGCTTTACTCACACAAATAACGTTAATATATTTTAAATAAAACATTAATATGTTACACTAAATATTAAACAATTAATTCTGTATCGCTCGTAAAACTTTAAAGTTGAACAATTTCTACACGTTAAATGCTTTAAACACAAACCTTTCTTGAGTCGAATCACAGCAGATACAGGAGCGCGGCGCATCCTCATGACGTCACATCACCGCGCCAAAATAAAACTGCTCGCACTCTGGTGTCTAATGCATAGAAATGTACTTAGAACATGATATAAAAATAATAAAAGAGTTGACAGAAATTCAGAGTGTATTGTATTGTTGAAAAATGTAATGTATATGGTCCAATTATGTGCTGAAAATGTAAGGAAACCTGTAAGATTTTGTCTGACAAACTGTAATGTTTAGGTTAAGAAACAACTTATAAATTAGATTAAAATGCAAATGTGATAAACAAACAAACAAACAAAAAACGAGTGTATGAGTTCATAGAGTACATTCTTGTGTCAGTATTGAAATGAAAAAAAAAATGTTTTTCTCATTTAAAAAATGTGGACATATTAAGTTAGAGTCTAAAATAATACCTGAAAATAGGTATAAAATGTCTAAAAAATTACGATTGATGAGATTTATTTTCATTATATCTTTATAATCTTCCAAGAATTATTGACATTATCTGGGTCACTTGTTCAAGTTTAAAGCCATAAACTGATCAATGAATGATATAAATTATAGCCATAAGCCATAAAAATCTTATAAATGTATTATAAATCTTATAAATGTATGGGCCTTTTACCCCACACACGGTATTGATACACTTCAGCTAAAATAATGTTTTTTTAGAAATAATGTCTAAGTTAAGTGATGTGACATGTGGCCAAGTATGGTGACCCATACTCGGAATTAGTGCTCTGCATTTACCCATCCAAAGTGCACACACACAGCAGTGAACACACACAAACCGTGAACACACACCCGGAGCAGTGGGCAGCCATTTATGCTGCGGCGCCCGGGGAGCAGTTGGGGTTTGGTGCCTTGCTCAAGGGCACCTCAGTCGTGGTATTGAAGGTGGGAGAGAGCGCTGTACATTCACTCCCCCCACCTACAATCCCTGCCGGTACGAGACTCGAACCCACAACCTTTGGGTTATGAGTCCGACTCTCTAACCATTAGGCCACGACTTCCCCTTAATACTAATAAGTTAATTCTTGCTCAAAACAATCACTTTAGCAAAGTTTGTACTATTTTCTGCTTATTTTGAAAAATTAAATAATTATTTTTTGTTCAATAAATATACTGTCATTAAAATATGTTAAAATAAAAAATATATTTTAAAATACAGAAACAAAATCGTTTGAATAAGATTCTGAATGTATTGAAGGAGATCCAATAATAATTGAATATATGTTTACAGTAGTAACAACAAATGATATTTTATTATATGATATGATTAATATAATGGTTTTAAATATGATGGTTTCATTCTAAACATGGTGATTATCTCTAATATGGACACCCAACATAATATATTATATTTACCATCTGAATCTAACCATGTCATGTCAACAAATGGAAAAGTCAGCCCTCTATTAATTATCATGTTAATTACTGTGCGCCTTTAGCCCCAACAGCAGGGGGCACTTTATACCCCAAATACCATACTTTTACATATTCTTTCCTTATTTAAAAATTATCTTAAAGGGGTCATATGATGCAATTTCAAGTTTTCCTTTCTCTTTGGAGTGTTACAAGCTCTTGGTGCATAAAGAAGATCTGTAAAGTTGCAAAGACTAAAGTCTCAAATCCAAAGAGATATTCTTTATAAAAGTTAAGAGTCAGCCACGCCTACCTAAAAAGGCTCGTTCTAACACACCCCCACATATCTACATCACTATGTGGAAATATTAGCATAATGCCGCCCAAATGATCATGCAAAGAAAGAATGTAATGTAATGGTTTCAGGAACAGCAGTAGTGTTGATGCAGCATGTCAGGGAGATGCTGTGTTTCAGTGCAAAAGCACTTTATTTGGCCTTCTGGAAGTAGATGCAATTAGGAATCATTGGTTAAGATTTATTTACAACAGAACAGCACAACCCAGATGTTCGAATTTGTGCAACGCATTTTATGGATGACAGTTTTTTTAACCTAGAAGAGTACAAGGCTGGCTGTGCACAAAAGCTATTTCTAAAAACAAACAAAAAAAAGGGGTCAATTCCGACTTTGCTATGACAATCTGGCGCTTCTGAATCAGCGACTGTATGTATGTTTTGTTATTAGTTTAAGTATTTGCTATTGACTGTTCAAATGCGGAGTTTTGCGCAGCGCAGAGTAACGCATCGTGTGTGTGTGTGTGTGTGTGAGGGGAACAGGGTCACATCACAGGAGAGTGAACTGCCTGTCAGAAATCATAGCACGTCAGCTGTTTTAACCGCGGCTTGTGTACTGCATCATCACTGTGTCTGTCACGCGACTCTGTTGCCCTTTCAGGCTTGAACTGATGGTAAAACTAATGACATTATTAACTGTCTTGATATTTACTTTGAAAGCTGAAGCTGCGATTATGGTAAGGGGCGTTACATTTTCGACGCGTGTTTGTGGTGTTCGGCCAATCACTATGTACTGGGTCAGCTGGCCAATCAGAGCAGACTGCACTTGTCAAAGGAGGGGGCTTTGTTGAAAACGACGTGTTTGAGAGAGGCGGGGCATAGAGGTCCTACAATAATGTACAGTATTTGAAAAATAATGTGTTTTTTGAACATTAAAGCATGTCAACATATTCTGTTAAACCAAATACACAAAATAATGATATTTAAAATAACATCATATGACCCCTTTAAACAAAACTGAAAATCATAAAGAAGACCTTTGTCTCACAATATATACATTCATTTTAGCGATTCTCATTTGCTACTTAAATCTACAACATTTTAATATA